TTTTTTTTTTTTTTTTTTTTTTTTTCATTTTCTTCTCTATGTACATACGAATTTCTGACTATTCTTGTTGCAGTTTGAGACACAGATATTGAATATACACAAAGTAGTACTTTAATTTCGATTGCATTTACGACCGTAGTAAACGTTATATATCTAAATATACATCACTTGTAAAATATCCACTTGTGCATTTGAGAGTGAAAATAATGTGTTTACGTATTTTCTTGTCATTCCTGTTCATTGAAAATTCGCTGGCGAATAGAAACAAATCGAAAAGGTAAAGTTAATAAATGTTGTAGATGTCAGACGATGATAAAATGTCGCTAACTACTGCTGTTAGCGACGATGACGATGGTGAAAGTGTCATAAATTCACCTTATCGAGGAAAACAGACTGGTACCGCTGCCGCTTCGTTCAATTGTACGGGAGCTGTTCGAAAGGCTGGGTATGTGAACAACAAATAATCATAGACTGTCGGGAGTAAATTTACATCAAGTTTCTGACAAGTTTCTGAAATTTAATCAAGATATTATTGCATCGCAGATTTTTAAGCGTGAAAAAATGGCTACTACGAAAGAAGCATCAGATCGAGCTCGCGAGAAAGAGAGGTTGGAAAGGTTACTGGGTTTGCTTAAAAGGGACAACCCTTCTCTTTTATCCTTGCGATTCACAAGAAAGTAGAGCCATGGAGGCAGCGCCGAAACATTTGATTATAGTCGATGGCGCGATAATGCAACCAATTCCAGAACATCCGAAAAGAGATTACATATTTTGTTTAAGCACCGCATTCGGCGATGCTTACTTATTTCAGGTGAGCGTGTATTTCGAGTAACAATGAAACGAATTACGAATCACGGTGTGTTTTATATACATCCCTGTTGATTGTTTCATCGTCAATGATAAACCGGTGGTCCCTTTTTATTCTTGTATCAGGCTCCGTGTCAAGTGGAACTCGAAAACTGGGTGAACAGCATACATTCCGCTTGTGCCGCTGCGTTTGCACGCCATCGTGGTAAAACTGGAACCCTTCATTTATTGCAGGAAGAAATATTTCGTTTGGAGAAGGCGATAGAATCGGTAAGTGATAGCGAGTATACACGTGCATTAACTTTAGGGAAAATCGTTTGATACCTCTCTCGTCTTTCCTTTAGGACCATAAACTAAAACACATGGCGGACCTTCAGCAGTCGGTCGTGTCTGACGTAGAAACGAGACAGCAGATTAACAATCAGATCATTCAGTGGGAGGAAAATTTAGAGCGACTTCATTGCGAACAATTCCGACTGAGATGCTATATGGCTAGTTTACAAAGCGGTGAATTACCAAACCCAAAGGTATCACGTATTTTCACTTAAACATCGTATAATTCAATATAATATAACAGTTGCGAAATTACTAACCAAATGAGATTTTCACCGATCGTGTGCGCGACTTACGTGAGCGATCTGTAAAATACTGCGTTTCTATAAAACATTCTTGCAATGCACGTTACTTTAATACGTGCATAATTTATACACGCTATAGACTATAATAGAGAATCGGAAGCTCCTATCGACCATCGTGAACCGTAAATAGAATCTTGTAGAACTTCGACGAGCCAGTTTCCGCTACATTAGTAGGGGTAGCTGATAATCCTGATACAAGAATCACCTCGATTCAAATTTTTCTCATTTTTCCCGTAGAGTTTATTGACGCACGTATCTCGTGCCACGAAGCAGACATTAAACAAATTGGGAGTCTTTACCGTGTCGTCATTTCATGCTTTTATATGTGCACGAAGTCCTTCGTTGCTCAATAATTTACTAGCAGGCCGGGGAGCTACCAAAAGAAGACCACCTTTACTCTCGAGATCTAATAGCGGATCAAGTAGAAGATCCCTTCAAATATCGTCCAGAGATGATGAGAAAACCGTGAAGGTGTACGTACCGGAAAATCAGGTAAGCGACTCTAATTGTTGTTAGTTAAAAATATATTTGTACGTATGTGTCTATTTATAAAGGAAGGAAAAGGTTGACTAATCTTTCTTATTTTTTTTTTTTTTTTTCTCTTCTCGAGAAAACTTGATGTCACCTAACATTTGTTTATTTATACATAATATATATCCTTTGTAAAAGTTTCTTTGCAATTGGACAAATTGGACACTGACGCCGATAAATATCAAATTCTACGTGTCTACTTTTAGCTGGTATCGGTATTTGTGCGTGACGCTATGACAGTAGAAGAATTCCTTGCAAGTGCTTGTAATAGGAAAAATCTTAATCCGATGGAACATTTCGTTCGTGTAAAAAAACGACGCGACATGGAAGATCATAATTATTTCGTCCCACATAGAACGGATATGATAGAAACTTATGTAAGTATTAGTGTCATGCCATATGTCATAAATTCTATATAGGTATATACACTTTTGAATTACGTTGAAGAAGACATCGCAGTAATTTAGTAGAACAATAATATAGCGAGATGTACTTTACGTTGTATTGAATCTTTTCAATACCATCTCAAAATGTGAATTTTTATCTTTATTCCTGAATTGGCTGAAACTATCGCTATTATTAGGAACAAAAGAGATAGCTAATCACGATGAATAGCTCGTTGCAAACAGAGAATAAGAAAATAATTATATATTTCAGTTGCACACCCATGAGATTGTTGAAGTTTGCGCAAAGATTTTATATCAAGTAGAACTACAGAGAAATACCCTTGAACAAATGTGGGGCTTTTCGGTGGAAGCAGAGTTAATTGAGAATTCTGACCGGCAGGATGAATTATGTTGTTATGTTAGCAGGGTTGAAGACAAGAGCGTAGCAATGCAAAATGGTAAGATAATTGGCATGCATTTTTACTACACATATAAATGAAGCACAAACGTATACAACGTACTGTAATCGTAATCATAAGTTATGTCACAAGTTGTAATTGTGCGATAGTGTGAAACACAATCAATCATTTATTCATTTAATATAATAATCACCTATACTCGTAAAATTCAAATTTAATATATTATTCTTGAGAGAAAAATTTAATAAAAATGCATGTTCGCATAAAACTGCTTGATGTAATATAAATAGGAAATCAGTGAGGCAAGCTCAAGATCCTCTTCCCATCCCTCTTTGATCTAATTTAAGAATGAAGGTGAGATACATGTGGAAACACAAAGTCGGGTGACCTTAATCAGATTTTTTTTTGTCTGCATCTACAGAATATTTTGTAGAGTATGACATTGAAAGACATTGATTTTCTGTATTAACTGAGCAAATATACGTTTACAGTTTTACTATGTATCATACATATAAATAATCATGTTTTTAAATACTACACATTAATGTATTACATATTAAACAATATATTATATTTTAATTTCTTGTATATTTTTCAAATGTTATGATAATATTTTTTTCTTCTTTTTCATCTCATCTTTTTCAAATCAGTGCATGTACTTATTTAATATCTTCTCAGGAATCATCAAAGGAGACGAGATTATGGTAATTAACGGTGCAATAGTGAGCGATTTGGACATGATGTACTTGGAAAGTGTATTGCAAGAAGAAGTTGGTCTATGTATGATGATGAGATCTTCGCGAACTGAACCCCCAGACCTCACGGGCATAATGAGAGTCACCGATGACATAATCGAAAGTTTGGTCTGCCCGCCTCCACCTTCTGAGCCACCAGTTATCAGCGAAGAAATGATATCCGGTTTAATTGTCCCAGCCCCTGGATGGAGTAAGAATTTTTGTTCGCTTGATTGACTTTTTTTATTTTTTGATCAATAACTATTCCATGTTTTCCTATCTTGTTTTTTTTTTTTTCTCTCTATGTCTGCTTGTACAACTATACTTCCATTTCCCGTTCCCTAAAGGTTTTTAAGATATTATTTTATTCCTATTTTTATTTTAATGTGGTGGTAGCAGTAGTAATAGCAGTAGTAGCAGTAGCAGTAGCAGTGGCAATAGCAATAGCAATCATAATAACTAGTAACAGCTAGTAATAATAAAGATAATGATAATAATAATAATTTCTTTCAAATAAATTTTTAACTAATTAATTATACTTATAACAGAAAATTATAAAATTTTAGTTATACTACAAAATTATAGAATTATTTGTTGCATAGAGTTAGTGTTACAGAGTATTTATCTATTCTGTATTCAGTAAAATGAAATTAAAAATATTAATATTATCAATATGTATGTATGTGTGTATATCAATGTATATATGTCGGTGAATATAGGCAAAGAAAGTATCGCGCAGGAGTGTACGTCAGCATCTCACATGGAAAATGGCAAACAAACATCTCGCACAAATTCATTCGAAATAGAAAATTTATTAAAAACCGCTGAACAAGTAACGGGGATCTGTCGATCACCTGGTGAAACAAGAAAATCTAGCCCCACTGGAAGCGTTGTTAGCTCTCATTCTCAAGCTATGACACCGAGTCGGCAATTAACCGATGCTGAGAAATTAAAGAAAGTTATTCTAGAATTAATCGAAACTGAGCGTACTTATGTAAAGGTATGTTTCATCGCAGGTTTCCTTATCATTTCATTTGTATGATACTTAACTTTGTTCTGAATTTTCGAATTTTTGTATCTTGTAATATTGTTCTCGTATTAACGAAATAGAAAGATGTGATATTTTCAAAAGATATTTAATATATAAAATCTGTAAAAATTTTTTCATATTTTTTTCAAATCTACCTTGTAAAATATAATTGAGATGAAAATGATGTAAAAAAAGAAGAATACTGTAAGATTAATATCGAATTTCAAACGTGTTAAATTTTATGTGCCTAAAAATATATATATAACATGTGTTATTCCGTGAAATACTTCTATAACTGAAATATATTATGTTATATTATATTATATATATATAAATGAAATGCTTTTTCAGAATTTAAATAATTTACTGGAGAACTATTTAGAACCCCTTAAACGTGAAACTTTCCTATCGAATGCAGAGATAAATGCATTGTTTGGGAACATACAAGAGATTGTTACATTTCAACGACAATTTCTACAAAATCTTGATCATGCGATCGAGATGGAAACTGATTTCAATAATTTTGACCATCCTAGTCAATTTAAGGTATGTAGTATTGCTCTGCAATAAGAAAAATATACCTTTCTTATGTATTTATTTTATCAAATATTTGTATTTACGATAATGTGTGTATTTATCTTTATTATACGTGTATAATATATTTATAATATATTTATAATATATTTATTATATATATAATACATATATAATACACACAAGGTGGTCATTTAAGTAAAGTCACCTAAATATCTTTTCGAATTGTGATAATGCAAAATATGTTTTTTACATAATGTGAATAGTATTAAAGGACCAATATCTGGCAAGAATATTTTTTCTCAAGACCATTTTTTTCAAAATTTTCCAGTCATCCGTTTTTTCTTCATTATATCAGCTAGTCAGAAAGTACAGCTCTGCAATAAGAAAAATATACCTTTTTTATGTATTTATTTTATCAAATATTTGTATTTATAATAATGTGTGTATTTATCTTTATTATACGTGTATAATATATTTATAATATATTTATAATATATTTATTATATATATAATACATATATAATACACACAAGGTGGTCATTTAAGTAAAGTCACCTAAATATCTTTCCGAATTGTGATAATGCAAAATATATTTTTTACATAATGTGAATAGTATTAATAGTATTAATATCTGGCAAGGATATTTTTTCTCAAGACCATTTTTTTCAAAGTTTTCTAGTCATCCGTTTTTTCTTCATTATATCAGCTAGTCAGAAAATACAT